ATCACAGGTTCCCTTCCTGATCCAAAAAGTTACATTTTATTTACTCTCACTTATGAAACAGTGTGATCATTTTCAGTAAAGTCATAGTTCTTTTCATAGAAAGATATTTGACATAAATAATTATTTAAGGATGAAGGTGACTGAGCTATGATTAACACCAGCACTTAAAGTGCTTGCAAAATATGAGTTGACCTTGCTTAAATTTCAGAAATAAAAGTTAGTACACATAAACACATTTTCTCTCAGCATTGAAAAATTCTAGTCTATAATCTACCTGCTTGCTAAGAATGGTGGTGGTGGTTTAATCCCTTAGTCATGTCTGATTCTTTGCAACCTTATGGACTGTATAGCCCACTAGGCTTCTCTGTCCATGGGATTTCCCAGGCAAGAATACTGGAAGGGGTTGCCATTTCCTCCTCGAGGGGATCTTGGGATAAAGATATTGTTTAAAGATTTTTATCAGGATCTCCTTCTTTAGAAATAGATTTAGTGTTACTCTGTTTTCCATCTGTTTTCTCTCTACTGCCATCTAGTGGATTAAATGCAAGTTTACCTGTTAATTAAAATCAAGGGAAGGAAATGAATAACATGAAATTTATCCGTGATGATGAGTTATTGTTACTTTTTTTTTTAGTAGAGTGTAGGTTGCAAAAAATACAAGAGTGAAAAAATTCCAGGCATTCATGTGATGTCAGTAATAAAATGCTTATCAGCTTATCCATAAATAAGGTATTTTATTTAGAACATTAGAAGCTAGATACATTATTGATACTGTGTCCTGCATATTGTATTTCTAAATTATGTTGAGAAGCTTAACTCCTTATTACAATGATCAATAATTTTTTTTTAATGTAAACCTTCAAAGCCCCCCTGATGTGAAGTGTACTTACTTAACTGACAAGTAGATAAAAGTGCAGAGATAAGATAGTCAATTTTTATCAAAGTTGGGAAGAAAGGCAGATGTGTGTGTTATTCTGGGAATTTCTTTTTCCAAATAATGAAACCAATAAAAGCAAATGGAGTTTAAGTCTCCTCATTCTTTGTAGAGGTGTCCTTTTCAGCCCCCACTAAAGAGCAAACCCAAATGAGCAAAAAAACCAAAACCTGTTGTTGCTTGCTGGCTGTTTTGCTGAGAGTTTTCACTTTTGTCTCAGGTCCAGAGGATTTGTTAACAAAATAAGCCACTCGTTATATACAAATAAGCAATACAAATATTTCTTAGAGAACTGTTGCAGGAAGGGGGACCCTTTCCAGGGCCCAAAACTGTGCTCTTGTCTAAGTATCCGAGGAGACACATGTGCTGACAAAGAAAGAGATTTTATTGGGGAAGCGCACCTGGGTGGAGAGCAGGAGGGTGAGGGAACCCAGGAGAACTGTTCTGCCACATGGCTTGAAGTCTTGGATTTTATGGTGATGGGATTAGTTTCCAGGTGGTCTTTGGCCAATCATTCTAATTCAGAGTCTTTCCTGGTGGCCCACGCATCGCTCAGCCAAGATGGATGCTAGTGAGAGGGATTCTGGGAAGTGGACAGGCACGCAGTGTCTCCTTTTGACCTTTCCCAAACTCTTCCGGTTGGTGGTGGCTTATTTGGTGGTGACTTATTAGTTCCGTATTCCTTATCAGGATCTCCTGTCATAAAATAACTCATGCAAAGAGTTACTATGGTACCTGGCCAGGGTGGGCAGTTTCAACCAGTGTGCCTCCCCTAACAGAACTATCTAGTCTACTTTCAATATTCTAACATAAAAGAAAAAAGAAATAGAAACAGCAGAGGGGAGCAATAGTACCTACATCGCCAAATTGGATTTGCCAACATCTGGACTTAAACAGCAGTGGGATGTCTCGTGTGACAGCAGTCTGGAGTTCCAACTAGACAAAGGTCCCAGGCAGCGCATCCGCTTTGTGGGTGAGACTTCAAAGATTGCATTTCTCCCACTTATAATCCCAGGATGCAAGTTGATATATCATCATCAGTTCAGTTCAGTTCAGTTGCTTAGTCGTGTCCAACTCTTTAAGACACCATGGACTGCAGTACCCCAGGCTTCCCTGTCCATCGCCAATTCCCAGAGCTTGCTCAAACTCATGTTTATCGAGTCAGTGATGCCATCCAACCATCTCATCCTCTGTCATCCCCTCCTCCAGCCTCCAGTCTTTCCCAGCATCAGGGTCTTTTCCAGTGAGTCAGTTCTTCACATCAGGTGGCCAAAGTATTGGGGCTTCAGCTTCAGCATCAGTCCTACCAATGAACATTCAGGATTGATTTCCTTTAGGATTGACTGGTTGGATCTCCTTGCAATCCAAAGGACTCTCAAGAATCTTTTCCAACACCACAGTTCAAAAGCATCAATTCTTCGGCGCTCAGCTTTCTTTATGATCCAGCTCTCACATCCATACATGACTACTGGAAAAGCCATACCTTTGACTAGACGGACCTTTGTCAGCAAAGTAATGTCTCTGCTTTTTAATATGCTGTCTAGGTTGGTCATAACTTTCCTCCCAAGGAGTAAGCATCTTTTAACTTCATGGCTGCAGTCACCATCTGAGGTGATTTTGGAGCCCAAGAAAATAAAGTCTGTCACTGTTCCCATTGTTTCTCCATCTATTTGCCATGAAGTGATGGGACCAGATGCCATGATCTTAGTTTTCTAAATGTTGAGTTTTAAGCCAGCTTTTTCACTCTTCTCTTTCACTTTCATCAAGAGACTCTTTAGTTCTTCTTCACTTTCTGCCCTAAGGGTGGTGTCATCTGCATATCTGAGGTTATTGATATATCATCATCAATCTGTCAGCAAAACTGCAGCTCTGGTATTATGTTATTTTTTTACAATGCTGTTTCCTTTTTTGGAGAAAGAATTGGCAACCCACTCCAGTAGGCTTGCCTGGAGAATCCCCTGGACAAAGGAACCTGGTGGGCTACAGAGGCTGAAAGGACTGAGCAACTAACCCTTGCTTTGTCACGCAAATCTTGGAATGTTACTAAGTCCTAGGAGTGGTAGGCCAGACCTCCTCAAGGGACTTGACAAACTCCAAGATCTGCTGCCTCTCTGTCTATTGTGTTTCTCTTCTCACACTCACAGCAGGTGTGGCTCACACCCACCGCAGTAGTCAGGGTTCTATCCATGTAGGTCAGAAGCAAGGTCGGAGGCCTGCTCTGCTTTGTCTCTGAAGCCTAAACAAGACTTTAATTTCCCTACCACTGACTCGTTTCTGTATCTTTTTCTTTAATTTGAACTTTTTATTTTGCATTGGAGTATAGCCTATTAGCAATGTTGTGACAGCTTCAGATGGACTGCAGAGGGACTCAGCCATACTATACACGTGTCCATTGTGCCCCGAACTCTGCTCCCATCCAGGCTGCCACGTCACATTGAGCAGAGTTCCCTGTGCTCTACTTCAGATCCTTGTTGAATACAGTTGCGTGTTCTTGTCAATCCTAAACATGCAAACTATCCTTTCACCCCATCCTTCCGCCCTGGCAACCATAAGTTTATTCTCTAAGTCTGTGAACTGACTCATTTCTTTAACTTGGTACCTGTCACTCTTTATCCATTTCCTTTGGGGCCAACCAAGCCCTGTGTGACCCTTAGGTTCACATGCTGTGTGAATGGACTGTTTCCCATTTCCTAAGCCTCTTATACAAACACATTGTATCATGCTCACACATCTTTTACCTACCTCATTCTTCACCTGGGCGTAAGTAGTGGGTGAGGCCTCATGAGCTAAAAGGTAGTGGAGGAGATTTAATTGAAATTCAGAAAAAAAAAAAATATAGCCCCAGGTCCACTTTCAGCCAGTTTCATTAAATATTACAAAAGTCACGAATTAGCTGAATTTGAGTCTCTTCTCATTATTTTCACACCAGATTGCTACCCCATCCAGGCAGACTAGGCTTCTTTTTTGAAGACTCAACATATGTATTTTATTGCCCATGAGTTAATATAGTTAATATATTGCCATGAGTCTTAATTTGTTTTCTTACCTGCGTGGCCTGAAACTGTACAGGATAGCCCAGCAACCTTTAATGCCTTTAGGATATGTAACCCTCAAAACTTTTTAGTCTCTCAATTTTCCTCTTTAAAAAACAACTGAGAGTAACTGCTTTTGTGCTGAAGGAATTTATGATTGCATTGTTGGCTTGTGATTTTCTCAGTGTTTGTGGGGAAGGCCGTTTTCTCTCCTTGTCATTCCTAATATGAATTCCTGAGTCCTTCGTCCTCAGTCTTTTGGTGGGCGGGGGCCCGGGTGGCGGGGATTTGTCTTGTCTGATGTCTTTGCTTCTAGTGAAGCTACACTCTTGGTGTCTGTTATCTGTCACCGTTGGATGTGCTAGTGGCACGTTCCCCAGCCCAAGTCTGCTGGCACCAGAGTGTTTTGAACAAAGTAGAAGAGCAAGTTAGAGAAGCACATATTAGGTTTCAAACCCAAAGACTGAAATCATGTCTAGGTTCTTTGCTTTTTCAGTTCCCAATGACTGCAATCCTGAAAGGTGTTATATGGCTAGTTGTCAAAAATATATGGCTAGTTGACAATGTACTGGTCTTCCCAGGTGGCTCAGTGGTAAAGAATCCACTGCCAATGCAGGTGCCCCAGGAGACGTGGGTTCGGTCCCTGGGTCAGGAAGATTCCCTGGAAGAGGAAATGGCAACCCTCTCCTGTATTCTTGCTTGGGATAATCCCATGTACAGAGGAGCCTGGCGGGCTACCATCCATGAGGTCACAAAGAGTCAGACAGGACTGAGCAACTGAGCACGCACAAAAAACCTACCAATAAAACAATAGACAACTTTGCCTTTCCTTTAAAATCATAACTCTGAAAGCAAAATGGAACTAAGTCTTGGTGTTTTCTTCTCAGAAGACCATCAGGCTTTGTGTAACTCAGCTTCGGGAGGAACAGCTGTCATTTGATGGCTTCTGAGAGATGTTACCGATCTGTTCTAGACTTTGAGACTGGCATCTGTGTTTTAGATTAACAGTTGTGTGTACTTTTACTATATTCCAGCCTTCTCTGGGAGTCAAGAAGCCGACTAAAGCCCTGCTCTTTGTAATCTTGAGCCCAGTGGGACCTTATTTTTCCAGTGGAAGCTTTAATCCTGTGTCCCTGTGGGCCAACCCGAAGTATGTAAGAGCCTGGAAAGGTGGGACCGGAGACTGCAAGATGGGAGGGTAAGTTGGTCTATGTTTCTGTCTAAAGGATAGAGTCCCTTGTGGCTATTTAGTTATGGCCATTTCACTTCAATACAAATATACATATTAGTATTCACACTGGAATGTTCATTTTTATTTTGTGTTTAGTCTTCAGTGATTTGAATGTGCTAGTTGTTTGAAGGATAACCTCTGTGGCCCTTTGTAAGGGAGAAACATTGACCGTTACACATAAGCAAGAACTAAAGTAACTACACCAGGAATGAAATCAGCGCTTTGGATGAACTGCCCGGGATGCTGGTCCCTGGCTGCGGGCTGACAGTTGGCATTCGAGAGCATCTGGTGTCGGGGCCCACGCTCTCAGTCGGCTCCAAGGAGTCCTGTCTGGAGAAGGTGCCTGCTTCACTGAAGTGCTGTCTTCATTCCCGCAGATTGCAGCCGATCTGCTGCCAACTGGCTGTGGGACAGCCCTGTTTTGGCTCGGTCAGGCCAGTCTCATAGGCCATATGTAGCTGGCTGGAAATAAAAGAGCATTTGAAAGCGTTAGACGATTTCAGGGGTGGACTTGGCCGTGAATCGGGAATGCCCCGACGGGTGAACAAGGATAGCCGGGTTACCCAGCGTGGCTCTTCCTTTGGAAGAGCACCAGCTGGCCTGCAAGCTGACTCAGTGGCAGTCTTCTGGGCCCTGGTGCAAACTGTAGAGTCTCGAGCCCTGGGAGAGAGGAAGGATGTGGTGCTGACATGCCAGAGAGATCTTGACAGCTGGCTTTGAACCCTCCATAGACTTTCTCTATTTCTCACTTTTCTACCCCTCAAAAGGCATGGTGGTAAAATGCTATGTCCTGTCATCCCTTCTGGCATTCACTCACTAACTGAAGTCCCTCATCGGGTCAGAAAAATCCTGATGGTGGTGGCTTAGTCGCTACGTTGTGTCCGACTCTTGCAACCCCATGGACTGGAGCATGCCAGGCTCTTCTGTCCATGAAATTTTCCAGGCAAGAATACTAGAATAGGTTGCCATTTCCTCCTCCAGGGGATCTTCCCAACCCAGGGATGAAACCCAGGTATCCTGCATTGCAGGCAGATTCTTTACTGACTGAGCTATGAGGGAAGCCCAGAAAAAAAAAAAATTGTGATGGAGTTCATTAAATAAACTAAGTCCCTTTTTTCCCTGTTAGATCTCCTTCCTAAGTCCTAGGCTAGCCAGATCAAAAACTTTTTTGTTTGCTCTCTTGATGGCTTTTTTACTTTTTCAGACTTATCCACAGAGCATATCTGTATTACTCTATTAAAACTTTTCTCAGAGTACACATTGCACTAAAGCAACAGTCTTGATGAAGAGGTAACTTAAAATTTTTTCTTCTTTGAATCTTACTCGGTTTTTTTTTTTTCATTTATTTTTATTAGTTGGAGGCTAATTACTTTACAATATTGTAGTGGTTTTTGCCATACACTGACATGAATCAGCCATGGATTTACATGTGTTCCCCATCCTGAACCCCCCTCCCACCTCCCTCCCCATCCCATCCCTCTGGGTCTTCCCAGGGCACCAGCCCTGAGCACTTGTCTCATGCATCCAACCTGGACTGGTGATCTGTTTCACACTTGATAAAAAAAAAAAAAAGATGCCAACCATTAAAAAAAAAAGGAAAAAAAAAATTTTACTCTCCAGCTCCCCCTACTTGCCTAGGGAAAAGATAATATGGGGACGCAGAAATTGCAGGGAATCCTTTAGTTTGGCGTCTGGGCAGATGGTTATTTGTCACAAAGAGGATATTGAGGCAGTCTCATAGAATATACAATCATTAAAAAACAGTTAAAAATCAATACTTTCTGTACAACACAAAGACTGAACTCTGGTGTTACTACGAACAACAAGTATTTCAATATTGTCTCATCAGTTATAACAAGTATACCCCACTAGTGTGAGATGTTAGTAAGAAGGGAAATAGAAATTGAGGAATAAGAGTTATAGAAACTCTGTTTTTTGCTCAGGTTTTCTGTAATCTGAAACTTCTCTAAGAAATAAAGCAAACTATAAAATAAATTACTAGTTTGACTTATTAGTCTCACATGGACCAGAATCAGTGGACTTGAAATTTCTTAGAGAAGAGAATATTGGGCCTCATACATAAAAACAAAATTGACAAGAGGGCAGGCATGAAGCAGAGGGTGGATTTGTCACACACCTGCCTGTTGTTTCCAAGAGTTTAAAAGCTCTCTGCTCTTGTGCTCCCAACCTGGAGGATCACAGGGAAACAAATGATTTTCTATCTACCGTCATTCAGTTTAGTTAACAAAGGCGTTTGGCGGTGACCTTAGTTTTATGTATTATTGTTCTCTAGACCTAACTTATTCAATGCTGTGCTATGCTTAGTTGCTCAGTCATGTTTGACTCTTTGCAACCCCATGGACGGTAGCCCGCCAGGCTCCACTGTCCATGGGGATTCTCCAGGCAAGAATGCTGAAGTGGGTTGCCATGTCCTCCTCCAACTTATTCAATAGTTATCTTCTAATCTTTTTTTAGTATCCCTGTAGTCAATTGGTAGTTATTAAATGTCTGTTGACTCTCACAAGCTCAAGAATTTTCTGCTTTCTGTCTAAGTGAATCTGAGGAAGAGAGAGAATATATGTTTTTTTTTAAATTCTAAAATTAAATTTTTTAATCTTAGAACTTTTAAACCTAGATTAATTTAAATTCTAAGCCTTAGTTTGCTCATTGATAAAGTGAGGGTAATAATGCCCACTTTACCTGTGAGGATGAAGGAGGACAATGTGAAGTGCCTAGGATCCTGGCCTGCACTTAGGGAGCTCTCAACAAGTATGGAGTCAGAACCTAGCAGTGTCCAGCGTGGACTTGGGAATCAGAGATACCCACGAATCGTGCACATATCTGCATGATCTTATGCAGTTAAGTCCTTTCTCCCTACAAGTCCTCAAAAGTATAATAACACCCAGGGTTGTGTTAAGACAATTTGTTGAATAATGGGGTTCAGTACCTAGTACCCTGCCTGGTAGGTGGTACTGTCTCAGCAAATAGTTTATATTATGAGGCTCTCTTTCTTTCTGGTTTTACCTCCTGGACTCTCCTAGGAACAATCAGTTAGATTGCACACAGTAGGATTTACTCTTTTGGAGGGATGTATTCAATATTCCTAGTCTCCCAGATTCTACGTTAAAATTGTATGTAGATAGTTTTCCCACTTTTTCATTTTCCTCTTTCCTCCAAGGACATGTGTTTTCCTTCTTAATATTAGCAGCATGTGGAAGGAAGCCCAAGTATATTACCAAAGTATCAATAACCCAGTGGACATCACCTGAGAGAGAATTTTGATACACATTTGTATTCAGGGAAAAACACAGCTATAAATGGGCTTCTCTGGGCTCAGTGGTAAAGAATCCACTTGTCAGTGAAGCAGATGCAGGTTCAGTCCCTGGGTCAGGAAGATCCCCTGGAGGAGATGGCAACCCACTCCAGTATTCTTGCCTGGGAAGTCCCAGGGACAGAGGAGGCAGGTAGACTATAGTCCATGGTGTCACAAAAGAGTCGCACATAACTTAACAACTAAATAACAAGAAATAGATGTTAAAGAGCTGCATCTGGGCCTATTGGCTCCAAAGCCATGATCTGCCTACCAAACTCTCCCTGCAGGCTGGTTTATACTCCTTAAAAAGTATTCGTAATTGAACCCAGTAACTGCATATTTGCCATTAGTTCTGAATATGGGTGGTCTGACGTTTTATGGTCATTAAAAATGAAAGCCTCCTGAATATTAGAATTGTGTCATCTCCAGACTGACTAGTAATTTACATTTCCTTGCCTGTGTTTTGAAGTATACATGTTGAGGGTCTTTTAAAGGAATCTGAACACCTTGGTGTAAGTAAATCTCATCATTCCCCAGATTGTATGATATCTATTTCCCATAGCTTTCTAGAATACTTCAGTTATTAGTCACTAGTCTTTGAGTTACAGGTCAGAAGACTAGCTCAATCCATCTTGAGCAGAGAAGGGATTGACTGGCTCATGTTAGTAGGATGGTAGCTGTGGACCAATAAGAGCTTGAATCATTGTCACCCGGTTGCTTTGCCCTTGCATATGTCCTGTTCATGCTACTTCCACCCCAGTCTCTCTCTTCCCTCCTTTTCCCTCTCTTTCCATCCTTCCCCCATCTCTTGTCAAAGCTTCTGGTTAGCTTCTGTTAGCTGAAGGCTCTCCTGCTTCAGATGTCTTCTCCTTTGAAGGCTGGTGATCATGGATACAAGAGACCCAGCATCATAGCAGATAAGCTACCACCATTCTCAAAAGGAGAAAATACATCTCTCAGGGTTTTTTTTTTTTTTTGTATATTGAAATGAATGAGTGAGTAAACTCAAAGAAGAACTTATGAGCAACTTAGTTACTTGCCCACCCTGGACTTCTGTGTCCTTCACTGTCTCCGAGAATTTGCTCAGATTCACGCCCGTTGAGTCAGTAATGTTATCCAACCAGCTCATCCTCTGTTGCCCTCTTCTTCTTTTGCCTTAAATCTTTCCCAGCATCATGGTCTTTTCCAGTGAAAAGAACTAGAACCTTGGAACAAGGGAAAAAGTAGCACGCCTACAAAATGAAATAATTCACGTAAAATTGATTGGCATGTGACAAAAATACTCAATAACTGGCTCTTCACTTGTGTTCTCTCTTTTCAACTTAGAATTGCAGCAGTTTTTCTTTGCTCTCTCTCTCTCAATTGAATGCAGTTAGACCATGTTGATTCTCAAATGTGTTTCCTTTAATATTATGCAGTTAACTGGAGAGGATATATAATTAAGAACCTAGTACATTGACTACATCCATGCTTGAATTAAAGACTTGCTGGGAGGTAGGGACTGAAGTATATTCATAATCATGTGTTTCCTCTTTCTTAAAAGGAATTATGGCTCATCTCTTTTTGCCCAATGCGAAGCAGTGGAAAATGCATGTCAGCAGGTTCTGTGGCTCTATGGAGAAGATAATCAAATAACTGAAGTTGGAACTATGAATCTTTTTCTTTATTGGATAAATGAAGATGGAGGTAATCCACTCAGATTTCAGCTCTCTGCTATTTTTCAATCATTTTCAGTGGGATTGGAGAGAAAAGAACTAAAACCTTAGAACAAGAGAATGAGTAGCACACTTCCAAGATCTTAAGATTTTCTATGCTTTCGCTGTCCAGGTATACATGAGTTTAAGTTTACAGTATTTACAAAGATTTTTGGCTTTGTTTTTTGGCTTTAAATGTACTTACTTTTGAGTTGTCAACTTAAGGAATTTAAATCTCCACTATTTGGAAATGTGCTGCCTTATCCTTTTTATTATCTTATCATTTTCCTATCTGATTATTTCAGTGGTCATTTACCACGCATGCATGCATGCTCATTTGCTTCAGCCGTGTCTGACTCTTTGTGACTTCATGGATTGTAGCCTGCTGACTTCTCTGCCCATGGCATTTCCCAGGCAAGAATACTGGAGTGGGTTACCATGTTCTCCTCCAGGGACTCTTCCCAACCCAGGGACTGAACCCACCTCTCCTCCATGGCAGGTGGATTCTTTATGTCTGGGCCACTGGGGAAGCCTGTGGTCATTTACCATATACTATATGCATATGTATACATATATGTATACATGTGTATACAGTATAAGACACTGTAGTGTTAAACAGTCTACTGTTTCTACTGATATGAAATTTAGTACACTCTCTTGCTGTAATTCATTTAACAATCATTGCCCTTTCTACATATTTTGATAATACATTAGAAGCCTTCCAGATTTACACTGGAGCTCTATTTGAGTAAAAGACACCGTTTTTAGGGCAAATTGGTCTTATTTGGGGATTGTGTTTAGATTGTGGTTCATTTAAGACCATTAACATATATCTACTACAAAAATCAGTACTTCTTTATTACCTTTAATATCCTTCCTGAATGCTCACTTTCCTTCTTTGCAGTTCTTTTTTTTAAATTAGTTGGCAGAAACCACAGGCAAGAAATGTAAAATGATAAGTTTCCAAATGTGGCTCTTCTGTCTATGGGATTCTCCAGGCAAGAATAGGGGATCTTCCCAAGCCAGAGATCAAACCCAAGTCTCCTGCATTGCAGGTGGATTCTTTACAGTCTGTGCCACCAGGGAAAGCCCAAATGTAAAATAAGTTTCCAAAGATTGAACAATTTTTTGGCCACCCAATACTGCTGAAATCTTGGTATTGGTTTTAATTCAGATTTTAAATGAAATTTTAATTTTAAAGCAGATATAGTAGCCTCTATTGCTCTTTTGTTATTTGGCTACAACTAAAGGGAAATGGTGATTCAGATGTGGCTGACTTCAGAGCTAATTTGAGCATTGCTTTCAGAGAATTACAAGATGAGCCTTATATTCCAGTCACAGTGAGAATAAACAGAAGGTGTGGTGAGTGAGTACACCATGTTCTGGGATTGATCCTTGGTAACTCTTGGCATATGAAAAGCCAAATATAGATTATGTTTGTCCTTCCATACCTGGCTATTTGTAGTTGACACTCTTGAAAAACAAAATTTATACTGGAATATTTGTGATTTCTAATTTAGAGTTTTGCATATGACATATATCAAAAGCTGTGCCTGAAAGTTGACAGCCACTGTTGAACTCTGTACATAGGAGATAATAAATTGATTCAGCTCATTCTTTCCATCTACCCACTGCCATCCCCATTGCCAAGAAAACCCACGCAACCCCAAACAAAACCAGTGACATCATACAGACAGAAGTGGCACCATCCTTATTTATGGATGGGAGATGTCAGAATTTAAGCACAGTCTGAATCAGAGCTACATGATTTAACCAGAAACACCAGAAACTGTCCTGGTGAAAAATGACCCCTTATGCAAACAATAATCATGAACCATTTCCATGGCTTTTAAAGGTCAGAAGAGAATTGAATCAATTTGTCTTCTGGCTCTTCTAAAATATACAAGACCTTGAGAGTTCCTATTCAGGTTATGAGATAAGTATAGTTTTAACGTGAAGATGCTCCTTCAGTTTGAGGGTGTTCACTGACAGATCAGATAAAATTTAAAGTAAGGAGAAAGGAAATGGAACAAATGTTTGAGCGGTACTCTGAGAGAAGTGAGGGAAATGTCAGGAACAATCTTTGGGCTTAAAAAGAAAACAGACGTTGCAGCAACTCTAGTAACTTTGATTTATACTGTGTGGCTTTAGGAAAAGACAAAGAATAATGTGTTGAAAATCAGCAAAATATTGAGTTTTTTCCCCAAAAAGCTTTCCAATTAGAGTTACAAGCAGAGTTCTTTCCATGAGCACCCACTCTCACCGTTCCTTTGGGCCAAGGTAGCTGCCACAGTGCTGTGCCCTGTTTTGTGGCACTTGGCTTGGAACTCATGGGTTTTTTTGGTTTTGTTTTTAAACTGAAGTATAGTTGATTTACAAGGTTGTGTTAGTTTCAGGTGTATATCAAAGTGATTCAGTGTGTGTGTATGTTTATTCTTTTTAAAATTCTTTTCCCTTATAGGTTATCACAACGCTGAGTAGAGTTCCTTGTGTATACAGTAGGTCCTTTTTGAGTGTCTTTTCATGTGGGTTTTGATTCCATAACCACAGCCCTGATTGTAAGATCACATGGCACCCAGTTCTTTATTTCTTTGATGAGTCATATGACATACACATTTGCTGTTCACTGTTGAGAAAGCAGTATTATCTAATACTAGACACTGGAACAACTGAGAAAGTAAGATGGGATTGTCGTGGCTGAGTTTCAGAGTGAGTTTGGGATGCATTTACACCAGATCTGCTCAGAGTACTTTGGCTGGGTGGCTGCTTACTCACCTCTTTCAAGTCTTTGCCACACACCCCATTCTCAGTAAGGCTTTTCTTGGATACCTTAATAGAAATCTTAAACTCTCTCCCAACACTCCCCATCACCTTCTTTTTTCCCCCTTTCATCACCTAACATGCTATTTAATATAATTGTTTGCCTCTGCTCATTAGAAAGTGAGCAAGGAGTTACATCGATTTTGTTCACTGCTGTGTCCCTCATACTTAGAATGGCCAACAGCACTGATGCTGACACTGATACTGATAGATGCTCAGTCTGTATTGAATGAATGAATGATTGTGCTGTTGGTGTTTGGGTCATTAACAGAAACCCACATTCCTGGTTCCCATTAGTGCTTGAATTTGGGAAGTCAGATGAATCCTGCTGTTACTGCTTCTAAACTCTTCATCTCCCCCAAATGATTTCTCTGTCAAAAACAAGCTGTGTTCGTAGGCTCTGTTTTCCTCCTGTTGAGCAATCTGGAGCTCATTCTGGCTCCTGTAAGCTTGTTTGTGGTTGCAGAGGAAAATGAATATTTCTCACCCAAATGTTGTCATGTCATCATCTCTGTCTGGCAACCAGAGAAGCAGATGTTCTGTTCCTTGACCTCAGGCTAGTGGTTACAGATTTGGGTGTTACATATGTTTCACAAAACTGCATTTGCACAGGCGGGGCCACTGTTTTCATTGAACTTTATGCAGCCTTAGGAGGAAGGCACGGCAACCCATTCCAGTATTCTTGCCTGGAGAATACCGTGGACAAAGGAGCCTGGTGGGCTACAGTCCATGAAGTCACAAAGAGTTGGATACGACTGAAGTGACTTAGCACATGCAGTCTTAGAGCCCAGGAAGCTTTAGGGGAGGTCCACCATGGGGGCACTAGAAGTGTTTGTTTATATGTGAGGGGTGTGTGTGTGCATGTACATACAGATCTGTACATCCGTGTATCCAGCTTGCTTGCTATTGCAAAACACGTGTTTATTTTGAGATCAAAGTAGCCCCCAAAACATTGCCAAGAACAAATTTACTTTTGAAACAGTGGTTTTCAGCAGATGATTTTTTGATTCAAAATTAGAAGAAATTGTACTGCTATACCCTAGCAAAGAGGGTTTTTTTTTTTTAAACTCAAAAACATTGAGTATGTATTACATACTCATTACAGTGGTATGTATTACATACCACTCTGGGCCAGGCATGTTGCTGAGTTTTGGGGACATAGGAATAAACATAGAGTCTTGGCATTCCAGAGAGCTGTGTTGTTGTTGGGGACGTCTCACATGGCCACAGTGGAGTGGATGAGTCCAGAGCACAGTCTACAAAAGGAAAGGGCGGTGGCCACAGTGTTGAGAGGCTTGAGTGCTGACAGTGTTCCCCAGTGTCACCAACCTTGGGAAGTCACATGTTTCTTCAGCCTCAGTTTCTCCTTCTGTAAAACAGGACTGTGCTAGGTGATCTCTAAAGTCCTTTTAGGCTGCATCAAGTGGCTCTGGAGCTCAAAGACTGATTTCTACCCAACTTTTGCTACCCAGCGATCCTTTCTAGCATCCCTTGTGAAGTCCTGCAGACACATGACAAGCAACATATCTGTTCTAAGGTTCAACATCTATATAAAGCGATGGTTTAAGGCTCGAATTTCTCACTAGATTCAGCTTGCTGGGTGCTGAGGTGAGGAGGAATGTTGAGTCCCAGAGGCACCCTTCTGTAAGGAGACTGGCTGGTGTGCTACATTTTTTTTTTTTTTGTAAGATTTATTTATTTTTGGGTGTACTGGGTCTTTGTTGCTGCAGCGGGGGTTGTTTGTTGCAGTGTGCAGGCTTCTTGCAGGGGATGGCTTCTCTTGTTGTGGAGCACGGGCTCTAGGTGCATGAGCTTCAGTGGTTATGGCACTCGGACTCAGTGGTCATGGCACATAGGCTTAGTTTAATTGTCCCATTGCTTGTGGGATCTTCCCCAGCCAGGGATTGAACCTATGTTCCCTGCATTGGCAGGCAAATTCTCAACTGCTAGGCCCCCAGGGAAGCCCCACACCGAGTCTAGTAGACCGGTCATCATGCCAACTTGCACTGTGGTTGGGAGTGTCTGCAGTCATTCTCTTAGTAGACCAATGTCTTGGCTTTGACCCTGTGGGTCACCCCTGGAGTGTTATTTTGTTGTTTGGATTTCTTTTTGTCTTCTTTCCTTATGTTTTCTTTGTTAGGCATATACATGCTTGAGCCCACCCTGAATGCATTACATTCGAATTTCAGAGGGTGAAGTCACTATCTCCATACTTGATGTGATGCTCCTGCACAGTTGAATGTCACCCTGGATAGACTTGTCAATGCCAGAGTGGGCGTGGTGACAGCCTGAGTGGGCATGCATACCTCTTAGGACAGGGTTACCCCACAGTACTCTTAGAAGGTTTGGTAATGCCCAGTGTTTCTGGATAAGAGTCCACCTACATTTTCCTAATCACAACCAGCTTTAATCTTTTGACTTTGTAATGTTTTCTGACTTTTGGATGTTCCTCTTTGGTTGGAATGTTTTTTGACTTTTGGAATGTTGCTCTTTGGAGTATTTTATAAGTCTTATTGTTTGTTAGTGGGAAACCATCTCATTTTTCACTGGTTAAGGATAAATTGAAGGTGGTAGGATGACTGATTGGGCTTCCCTGATGGCTTAGTGATAAAGAATCCACCTGACAATGTAGGAGACGCGGGTTCAACCTCTGGGCAGAAAGATCCCCTGGAGAAGGAAATGGCAACCCACTCCAGTATTCTTCCTGAAAAATCCCATGGACCTTGAGGAGCCTGGCAGGCTATAGTCCATGGTGTTGCAAAGAGTCAGACACAGTTTAGTGACTAAACAGCAGGATGACTGATTTTCTTTCATTTTCTTTTCTCTGCTTTTTTTTTTTTTTAAAGAAAACATAGGGATCTACCTGAAGTATGAGTTGATTTGGAAATTTTGACAGTACAGAACAGTGGCCCCCTTTTCGTGTTTGTTACCAGAAAAATAACAAGAAGTGTTTTTAAAAATAACAAGAAGTGTTTGTTGTTTAAAAAAAGCATCTAATAAAGTTTGAAACTATTCCAATTTCTAATTGATAGAAGAAGAACTGGCAACTCCTCCGCTAGATGGCATCATTCTTCCAGGAGTGACAAGGCAGAGCATCCTCGACTTGGCACACATGTGGGTGGGTACCTTCGGCATGAACCCCTTTTATAAAAGCATGAAATAAAAAAGGAGTCAGAATAAGTCCAGCTTAGTGTTGAAATAATATCCTGTAGTTTCAACCAACATTATCTTATCTTTAAATCATAACTTGAGTGAAAAAAAGCTCTTCTAGAAGGACTGTTTGGCAAGACTGTCAAATAAGTACTGTTTATAGAGAAGGGCAGGCAGAAACCAGTTTAGCAAGTTGTCCTAGTAAAGAAGTATTCTAGTACTAGACTCAAGCTTTATGCCAGGTGTTTCCTATCAATTCACCTGGTTTATCCTCCATGTACTTTCTTTTTGCCAGCCTTTTAAAATCTAAACACTCAAGTAAATATGTAAAGTTGTTTTCAGTAGCCCTTCTGATTCACATGACACAGGCAAGTCTGTTAAACCATTCGGTATTGGAAATGACTTCGCATATTCAAGATGAATATTGTATGAGTTGGTTAATCTGGCAAAGATTCTTGGATGGGACTTTTGACCCATGTGTTGAAATGGTCTCCAGGGGACAAGAAAAGGCTTTGAACATACTGTGGTCAAACAGTGTTAATAGGACAAATGTTTAGAAATACACATATCTAGGAGAGTACAGTTTCTTTGGAAAAGGCTTTGGAAGTAGAGAAAATGTGCTATAAATAATTCTACAAAACCCTGAAGTAGACAAGACCCAACTGCCACATGCTGGCTGGCACATTGGGCATGACATTTACAAACTGTTGGTATAATTTCAAACAGCTTGCCCTGTCCTAAATATGTTTGCAGTTGGAAAGATGTATTTTCCAAGCTCAGTAATTTTTGTTTCATTAAAGAGAAAAATCAACCAAGTACAGAAGGTTTGATGACAAGTTGCAAGTGGAAATGCTTTCCCACACTAATGATTTGCTCGCATGAAAAATAGGTTATTATGGAGGAAGTTTTTTCTTGACTCCTTAGCTATAATTTATTTTTAAAACTGTGAGACATACACGCCAAGAGGCATGTGGGGGGTTACCAGTATTTGCCAGACAGGGAGAAATTGTCCAAAGATAAAGGAGGGTGAGGAGAGGAAAAACAATTCTGTTTATTTACAGGAGATTTTTTTTTTTCTTTTCCAGAACACAGAACTCAGCTTTAACTTGGCTGATTTTCTGGAGTTTATTTATTTATTTATTTACTTACCTTTGTACGACTTAATTGCAGTTGCAGACTGAGATACGTTGAAACTTACAAAAAGCCAAATTTCTATTGCAGGCATATTTTTTCTTATCTTTCCGAATATACTTATAGCATGAAGCGGTCTTCTAATGCTTTGAATCTTGCCAAGGGCTGTGATTTCCATTTGTATCTGTCGTGGGCTTGTACATTTAAAAAAAAATGCTCTCTTCTTACTTGAAGTATCCATGCTTTGCTGCCCTTAATTCAAATAGCCTTTTGACCAGCTTTTTTTTTTTTTTTTGCTTTAACTACTAACAAAGAATGAGAATTAAACAGATTAAAGAATGAGTATGAAACAGTTAGTTTAAACACAGCTTAAAAGCATCAGGTGTTTTTTTTTTTCCCACTTCCTATCCTTGAGCAGATGTTCAAATAATTCACAGGAAGTTGATGAGAGGGTATACCAATAATTCTGTGATGAAACTCAACCTAAAATGGCATCAGAGAAAAAGAAGAGGATTACTGCTGTAAAGTCAACTGAATCAGTGATATTAGGGGAAGAAAAACACACAGTGTAATTTCTCAAGTATGCTATCTATGTATGTTTTAAAATAATGAAATATTTCAAATATTTAAACTCAGCCCTGTTTCTACTCTGTAAAAGACACAGTAGGAAGAGGACTAGATTTGGAGTCAGTCAGATCAGACCTGAGTTCAAATCCAATTTCTGCCATTACCTAGCTGTGAGGTCTCAGGGGTGTCATTCAATGTCCTTGAACCTTAATTTTCTCATCTGTAAAAGAGGGTGATAGTACCCACCTTAAAAATTAGAGAACGTGGTGTGTAACTGATGCTCACTAAATAGTGGCTCTAATTACTAATATTAGATAATAATGTACTTTGTCTTATGATAAAGAGGGTTTGGAACACACATTAAGTAACACCGGAGTGCATCAGCTTGTGAAACTTTGGCCATGATAACAAAGGCAGAAAAGAAAGCAAGTGTTAAAATAACAAAAGGCAGAAAGTAACAAAGTAAGATAACAAAAAGCAGAAAAGAAAGCAAGTGTTAAAATATACCATGTACTTTATCATGCTCATCTTATATTTTATATTCCGGTCATCTCATTTAGAGATGCTGTGACCTTGGAGTAGGTTTCTTAGCATCTTGGTATGTTTCCCAAAAGATGATGTCACTCTTTCCAGCTTTTCTTCTAAATATGATTATGACATTGTTTCAGTTCAGTTAGAAGGTAAAGTAGAAAGGTCTGTACCTCAGGGCATTTTTTGCATGTCTTTTTCCTTAAATATATATATATGTGTGTATATATATATATATATATATACATATATGTATGTATGTATGTATGTATGTATATATAAAATCTATTTTTTAATTGAAGGATAATTGCTTTACAGAATTTTGCTGTTTTTTTCTGCCAAATAACATGAATCAGCCCTAGGTATACATCTGTCCCCTCCCTCTTGAATTATATTTGTTTTTATTTCTATTCCAAACAGGGTGAATTTAAGGTATCCGAGAGATACCTCACCATGGATGACTTGACCACAGCTGTGGAGGAGAACCGCGTGAGGGAGATGTTTGGTTCAGGTACCGCCTGTGTTGTTTGCCCTGTTTCGACTATACTGTACAAGGGTGAGGTAAGACATTGTTTCTTCACTTCCTGTCATTTTCAAACACTTGCCTATAACTTAACTCTTTGGATACATATATGGACAAAATGCTAGTTGGCCTCAGGATGCAAAGGATTTTTAAAATAACTTGATATTCTGTTAACTGAGGCAGTTGTCTTTATGAACCTGTGTTAGCAAATGACTTAGTCATCTTTCCAGTGGTTTTCTGAAAGCTCCAACAGTTTCATCCTTGGTTATCATACCTGCCTTAAGTATGCCAGTAGGCTTACACTCATCTAGCATCTCGCTAAGGAAGGTCTTCTTGTTGTTGTTCAGTCGCTAAGTTGGATCTGATTCTGCTACCCCATGGGCTGTAGCCTGCCAGGCTCCTCTGTCCATGGGATTTTCCAGGCAACAATACTAGAGTGGGTTGCCATATCCTTCTCCAGGGAATCTTCCCGGACTAGGTGTCAAACATGAATCTCCTGCATTAGCAGGTTCATCTTTACCACTGGGTCACCAGGGAAGCCACAGGGGAGGACTTAACAATTCAGTCTCTGGTTTCCAAAGGTACTTCCTAACTGCTGGAGGAGGAATAGCAAATTGTTAAGGAAAACTCATTTGAATGATGAGTGAGTATTTTTCATCTTCATCATCATCATTAGTTAAACCACTTCATAAAAAACTTTCATTTGACAAACATGATGCATTTACTTCCAGAAGCCTTTAGTTGGAAGACATTTTCTCCTATTAAATTAATCTTGTTTATATATGCTGTATTTCCATTTCTTGTCAGTGTTTTTTTTGTTGTTGTTTTTTCTTTCTTCTTTATAACAACATAGCTCCGTCCTCATCTAACTTCATAATTCAGAGGCATACGTGCATTGTTTTTATAATATAATTGGCTTAAATTATTCGTAATAGTAAATGCAAATTCTATTGGTTTTTAAATTCAACATTATAATTATGTTTCCTCAATTGGGTGAACTGATTTTTTTTCTGCTGATTTAAATGGTGGTTGCTTCATTGCTTGGGATTTTCAAAAACTTGACATAATTGCATGAACAGATAGACGATTTCAAGGGAAAAGGATTATTCTATTATATATGGATACTTGTACTGATTATAAAGCTACTGTTTCACATTTTGCTGTGGTAATAACTAGATAATATATTATTGGTCTACACTTAAATGAACTAAAGTTGTCATTAGGTCAGTTTTTTTTAAAGCACATGTTTCTTTTAATATTTATTTATTTACTTGGTTGTATGGGGTCTTCGCGGCATCACGCAGGATCTTTCCTTGCGGCATACAGAGTCTCTCTAGCTGTGACACACAGGCTTAGTCACTCCACAGCATGTGAGATCTTGGTTCCCTTACCAGGGATCGAACGCACTTCCCCTGCCCTGCAAGGTGGATTCTTGGTCACTGGACCATCAGGGATATCCCTGGGTCAGATTTTTCAAGTCCAGTTGTTAGTTCATCTCTGCTGCTGCTGCTAAGTCGCTTCAGTCATGTCTGACTCTGTGTGACCTCATAGACAGCAGCCCACCAGGCTCCCCCGTCCCTGGGATTCTCCAGGCAAGAACACTGGAGTGGGTTGCCATTTCCTTCTCCAAGGCATGAAAGTGAAAAGTGAAAGTGAAGTTGCTCAGTCCTGTCTGACTCTTAGCGACCCCATGGACTGCAGCCCACCAGGCTCCTCTGTCCATGGGATTTCCCAGGCAAGAGTACTGGAGTGGGGTGCCATTGCCTTCTCCATACTTCATCTCTAGAAGTAAGTTTATAAAGTTTAACACATTTTGTGGTCTTGTTTTAGGGGAGCAGTCAGAGCCAAAAGGCATATCTAATTATCTTGTTATCCTAAAGAGTATAATAAGAAAAGTAGGAGTATAGACTGTTTACTAAAATCAAACTATCAAAAGCCTGAAGCCCAGCAAGGCATGAGTAGGCATGACTCGAAATATAGATTAGGGTCATAAAATCTCTTTGCCCTGACTTTAGCATCTGTGCAACTTTGTGGAATTTGTGGCCCTTGGAAGCTTGGCTTAGAACCGACAGATTTAGTAACCCCTTTTGTGAAGACATAGACTTGTTTGCATTTATGTTACTGATGGACTTTCCTGGTGGTCTGGTGGTTAAGGCTCCATGCTTCCATTGCAGGGGGCACAGGTTCAATCCCTGGTCAGGGAACTAAGATCCTGCATGCCGTACAACAAGGCCAGAAAACAAACAACAACAAAAACAACTTATGTCCCTGAAATGGCTTGCTTTAATTCATGGCAGAATATCTTTTGAGTTCTCATTCCCTGCCAAAAGGGTTAGATGTGGAGGCTAATATCTCACCTTTGTAGATTCTCAGGATGCTGGAGGAAGTAGGGTTCTTTAAGTTTAGCCACTGTTCTAGGTACCCCTGGCTTCTCACTGGTCCTTCAGATCAACCTGGAGATTGGCATATAAACCGTTGTGCCCTGAAATCAGCTGGTAGGAAATGAACAACCTAGCATTGACTAGATTGTTTATTCAAGTTAAGAATAAGAAAGAATCTTTGGCATAGAAGTTAGCATATTTAACAAGGTTATCATAGTGTCATTCCCTATTTTGGTAAAATTGCTTAGTTTCTTACTTGTTGTCACTGTGTACATGAATATCCTCAAATTAGTTCATGTCTGGTTTTCTTTTATAGACTATACACATTCCAACTATGGAGAATGGTCCTAAGCTTGCAAGCCGCATTTTAGAAAAACTGACTGATATTCAGGTAAGAGCATTTATTTTTAAGATGTTATTTATTTCTTTCAAAGCCTAGAACCAGATCTTACCTCTGTGGAGAGAAGAGAGTAAGTACTGTCATTTGAGGTCAACAAACTAAATTTAAGGAAGATGTTCCTGTATGTGTGGGCATGAGAAAAGTGTAAGTGAGAAAAAAGATGCATATTTAAAAAAAAAGGAAGGAAGGAAAGAAGGGGGAAAAAGATACACACACACACACATATACATACACAGAGAGTCAGAGACTCAATTACTTAACATTAAAAAATAAATATATTCAGTAAATTTTGATAACACTTAAAAATATCATTGAAAAGTGTAACATACTTTTATAAAAGAAAAAAATCTTTAAAGTGGAAGAAAGCACAGAAAAAATAATATTACCTGTGATTCTATCAAGGATAAAAACACTGTTAATATTTGATATCTTTTTTTTTTCTTTTTTTACCCAGAGCACAAGTGAATTTTTGATATCTTGATTTTCAATATTTTGTAAGCATTTATATATCTTTAGATAGATGTTTTTCTAACAATGGGATCACATATAATTTTGTTAACCTGCTTTTTTAAATTAATAAATCGTTTGCTTTTTGATATCAGTAAATTTTAAAATTTCATGTATAAAGTTTAATTGAACTCCACTATGTTGCTAGAGAATAATTTTTAAAGAAAACTTATTGTTGAACATTTATGTTGTTGGGAATTCTTTCACTGTTAAGAACAGTGTATTTTTAATTTTTTTCTTTAGGATAAATTCCTGAAATTGTAATTATCGTGTCAAAGAGCATGCACACCTATTTTTTAGTGCTGCTAACTTTGTTTTGTCTCTTTCTTTCTGAGCAACAATTTGCAGTAATATCATCAGGCAGTTAAGCCTCTTTCTAGTTAGGTAGATAATATACTCGGTAAACCTGGCTCACCTGTAAAAGATATTTTTCCAAAATTTGGGGAGCCTAGATGCCATCATTGCCAGTTGGTGAAAAGGGAGCCGAGATTCAGAGTGAAATGTAAAATGAAGTTTAATTATGGGTGACATCAAATGGTGTGGGGTCTTAAAAACTAAGCAAATAATTAAAGTTGATTGGGAAAGCAACAGGTCCCCACAGAGCAATTGAAGACTTTGGAAAAAAAACTATGTTATTTTTTTGAAGACTTAGCAACTCTTGTGCAAAATTTATAACAATAAAAGAAAGATTGTGGGTTTTGAATTTATGAGTTGTCTTACTTCTACTCTTCAATAGAAGTTGTCTATAGGAATTTTCTATAACCTTAAAGGAATATCTTAATATTAGAGGACTTAAAACTTAGAGTTGTTTTCTACTTTTGTATGTAAAAGCAGTCAAAAGTAATTTGAAGAAATTCAATAAAACTTTTCAGGTATTTCTCTTTTAGTGAGTCTTTTTTTAAATTGATGTATGGTTGATTCATGATGTTTCAGGTGGATAGCAAAGTGATTCTGCTTTGTATATATATCAGTTCAGTTCAATTCAGTAACTAAGTCATGTCCGACTCTTTGTGACCCCATGGACTGCAGCATGCCAGGCCTCCCTATCAATCACCAACTCCTGGAGTTTACCCAAACTCAAGTCTGTTGAGTGAGTGATGCCATCCAACCATCTCATCCTCTGTCGTCCCCTTCTCCTCTCACCCTTAATCTTTCCCGGCATTAGGGTCTTTTCCAATGAGTCAGTTTTTTGCATCAGGTGGCCAAAGTATTGGAGCTTCAGCTTCAGCATCAGTCCTTCCAATGAACACTCAGGACTGATCTCCTTTAGGATGGACTGGTTAGATCTCCTTGCAGTCCAAGGGACCCTCAAAAGGCTTCTCCAACACCACACTTCAAAAACATCAATTCTTCAGTGCTCAGCTTTCTTTATAGTCCAACCCTAACATCCATACATGACTATTGGAAAAACCATAGCCTTGACTAGACGGACCTTTGTTGGCAAAGTAATGTCTCTGCTTTTTAATATACTGTCTAGGTTGGTCATAACTTTTCTTCCAAGGAGCAAGCGTCTTTTAATTTCATGGCTGCAGTTACCGTCTGCAGTGGTTTTGGAGCCCCCAAAAATTAAGTCTGCCACTATTTCCACCATTTCCCCATCTGTTTCACATGAAGTGATGGGACCATGTGCTATGATCTTAGTTTTCTGAATGTTGAGCTTTCAGTTCAGTTCAGTTCAGTCTGTCAGTCGTGTCCGACTCTTTGTGACCCCATAAATCGTAGCACACCAGGCCTCCCTGTCCATCACCAACTCCTGGAGTTTATTCAAACTCATGTCCATTGAGTTGGTGATGCCATCCAGCCATCTCATCCTCTGTCGCCCCCTTCTCCTCCTGCCCCCAATCCCTCCCAGCATCAGGGTCTTTTCCAATAAGTCAACTCGTCCCATGAGGTGGCCAAAGTACTGGAGTTTCAGCTTCAGCATCAGTCCTTCCAATGAACACCCAGGACTGATCTCCTTGAGGATGGACTGGTTGGATCTCCTTGCAGTCCAAGGGACTCTCAAGAGTCTTCTCCAACACTACACTTCAATAGCATCAATTTTTCAGCGCTCAGCTTTCTTCACAGTCCAACTCTCACATCTATACATGACCACTGGAAAAACCATGGCCTTGACTAGATGGACCTTTGTTGGCAAAGTAATGTCTCTGCTTTTTAATATGCTGTCTAGGTTGGTCATAACTTTCCTCTCAGGGAGTAAGTGTCTGTTAATTTCATGGTTGCAATCACCATCTGCAGTGATTTTGGAGCCCCAAAAAATAAAGTCTGACACTGTTTCCACTGTTTCCCCATCTATTTCCCATGAAGTGATGGAACCAGATGCCATGATCTTAGTTTTCTGAATGTTGAGCTGTAAGCCAACTTTTTCACTCTCCTCTTTCACTTTCATCAAGAGGCTCTTTCGTTCTTCACTTTCTGCCATAAGGGTGGTGTCATCTGCATATCTGAGGTTCTTGATATTTCTCCCGGCAATCTTGATTCCAGCTTGTGGTTCATCCAGCCTGGCATTTCTCATGATATATCCTGCATATAAGTTAAATAAGCATGGTAACAATATACAACCTTGACGTACTCCTTTTCCTATTTGGAACCAGTCTGTTTTTCCATGTCCAGTTCTAACAGTTCTAACATGTTCCTGACCTGCATACAGGTTTCTCAAGAGGCAGATCAGGTGGTCTGGTATTCCCATCTTTTTCAGAGTTTTCCACAGTTTGTGGTGATCCACACAGTCAAAGGCTTTGGCATAGTCAATAAGGCAGAAATAGATGCCTTTCTCAAATTTTTTTTTCCAATTTAGGTTATTATAGTGGAAGTGAAAGTGTTAGTCACTCAGTCATGTGATTGTTTGTGATTCTATGGACTGTAGTTCACCAGTCTTCTTTGTCCATGGAATTCTCCAGGCAAGAATACTGGAATGGGTAGCCATTTCCTACTCCAGGGGATCTTTCTGACCCTGGAATCGAACCCAGGTCTCCTGCATTGCAGGCAGATTCTTTACCATCTGAGCCGCTAGGGAAGCCCCCAGGTTATTATAAGATATTGAGTACATTAGTAGTTGCTTATGCTATACCGTAGGTCCTTGTTGTTTATCAGTTTTATATATAGTGGTGTGTATTAATGTTAATCCCAAATTCCTAGTTTTTCCAACCCTCTGCTAGAATAGTTTTATATTTTTGTTTTTTAGAGTTGTCTGAGTAAATCTGATGAAGGTAGATAAGTTATTAGTGTTTGCTCAAGTAAAAAGCATAAATTGAACAAAAAAATATATAATTGAGTTGTGAAAGCCTTTATCCAAAACAGAACTTAGAAGATTTTTAAGAGGGGAAGAAGTGTGGCTACAGTGATAAGGAAAGATTACTTTGGAGAATTTTCTTGAACAAATTGTACAGAAGAGCACGTTTCAGTCTATAGCAGTTAACACACAAAATAGATTCCAGTACTACCACTTAGAAATGATATGAAGTATAAACTAATTGGATTTGGTTGTAAAATGTTAGAGGAAAAAGTAGTCAAAAAGGCTGAGGGAAAATTAAATTCTATTAAATGTGAATCAGAAGAAAAAGCTAAGTAGTGGTGTTCAGCCAGCATTATCATGAAACTTTGGAAGGCAAAAGCAGAAATGAGTATCATCTCCATTGAGATGGTGACTACATATATGCCCCAAAACCCTAAGTCCAGAGGCAACTTTGGGACAAGATGGGAAGCCATTGCAAAAGGTCTCAGAAAGAGCATTTTTATTTATTTATTTATTGGAGGATAATTGCTTTACAAAGTTGTGTTGGTTTCTGTCATATAACAATGCATATCAGCCATGTTTGTGTGTGTCTGTGTGTGTGTGTGTGTGTGTGTGTGTGTGTGTGTGTGTGTGTGTGTGTGTGTGTATGTATCCCCTCACTTTTGTTCCTCCAACCCCAGCCCTCTAAGTCACCACAGAGGACTGGGCTGGACTCCCTGGTGTTGCTCAGTTGCTAAGTTGTGTCCAACTCTTTGCAACTCTGTGAACTGCAGCATGCCAGGCTTCCCTGTCCTTTGTTATCTCCCGGAGTTTACTCAGACTCATGTCCATTGAGTCGGTGATGCCATCCAACCATCTCATCCTCTGTCATACCCTCCTCCTGCCCTCAGTCTTTCCCAGCATCAAGGTCTTTTCCATTGAGTCGGCTCTTCTCATCAGGTGGCCAAAGCACTAGAGCTTCAGCTTCAGCATCAGTCAATCCTAAAGGAAACCCTGAATATTCACTGGAAGGACTCCCTCTGTTATTTAGCAACTTCCCACTGACTGTCTATTTTACCCTTGGTAGTGTATCTATGTCAAATCTTTATGTTGGAGTATAGCCAATTAACAATATTGTGATAGTATCAGGTGGATTGCAGAGAGACACAACCATACTTGTATCCATTTTCCTCCAAACGCAGTCCCTTTCAGACTGCCACATAAAATTGAGCAGAGTTCCCTGTGAGAAAGAGCATATTTAGAAGTAAGA